ACGTGAGGTCTCCACCCGGCTAGCAAACCAGCCATGCCTTCACCGTCTCGCGAGGTTCTGCTCGAGATTCTCCTGAAGTCGCTCCACGTCCCAACGACCATCAACCTACCTGGCGGCATCAGTGAGCACATGGTCACATCAGCCTCAGCAAAAACTCATCTCGCCCCGAGGAGGCTCCTCTTCACTACAGAAGACCTTGAACGCATGGCAGAACGAAGCATGCGAGTAGCATCACGTCTCTGCAGCTTCATATGTCACTTGGATCGGTACCTGGCTTGGCGCGAGGGAAGACACACTGCCCTACCCCTTGAGGCTAGCCCACGTATCTTGGCAGGTAAGCGCAAGCACATCGACGACGAGCAGCCTTCAGCGCACCTACCCCCGAATATGGGGCCCCTCCAGCGCCAGCAAATCATGTACCTCACCCTCATGATCCAAAACTACACAAATGACGGAGAAGGCTCGCCGTCCTTTAGCACGTCCGATGCCGATCAGGCTAGTGCTTTAACCTGGCATTATCTCACCAGGAGGCTCTCGCAATCAGAGCTGAATGCCATTCTGCTCCGCACTTTGGAGCAGGCCAAGGTCATTCTGCAGTCTGAATTCACTCCAGCACATCAACGGAACCTACTCCAGATGCATCCCCAAACGACGGAGGAGAACTGGCAAGGCCAAGCATACTTCCCCCTAGGCCTCCGGCTTCAAGACCCACATCAGCTTGATCTTGACGCATACGATTTCAGAACGCTCAAAAGAGCATCACTTCAGCTTCGCCTACTACAACAACTGCGGACTATTACGGCCTCCACACCTACATCGGCCAGCGAACAGATCCGAGATGGCTGGGAATTCCTTGAACAAGACCGTGATCTCTCAAAGCTTGACTACGAGGACTACCTCACCAAACTGGTTTCAATGATCCCGCACTATCAGGAGACACTCCGAGAGACCCTGACACTGTACCGCCTATGGCTGTCAACCCCTCTGTCCGATGAGGACTTCCTGTGGGTGCGCAACCTGGTGGTGAATCAGCTTCTACCTAGAGACACTCTCCATCGCTACTTTGCTGACAGTCTCTGGCAACAAATACGACACAGATATGGAGGAGACCAAGGAGACCTCGAGCAGGCACAAGGAGTCATCACAATTCTTTCCCCGCTCCACGACCAGGTCTATGATGACTATAAGAACTTTGCTGTGGCGCTGACTCTGCTCCTCGTTCGACATCGTCAACGTCTGAAGCAGACGCTAGACGACAAAATTCGGGGCTAGAGACCGTCCGAGCACCATAGCCTTCCAAACGAGTGAGGTCCCCTCCTGTTCACTGCACTATCTTCCCAAATTGCGGGAAAAAGCGCGTAGCTCCGAGCTCCCGATCTTCCCATGCCAAGCCTCACTAAGCACAGCTCTCCTCGCAAAGTTTTCCCTCAGGTTCGCACGAGTGAGGTCCCCTCCTGGCGAACTTCCACCTAGGCCCATGGCAGACCTTCACCCCGTCCTCAGCCGCGAACAGGCAATGGAGGTACTTCTTGAGTCTCTTTTCCTACCGCTGCCGGTTTACCCTACAACTCCATCTGGCGCCGCCGCAGCGAGCAATCTGGACCTGGCATCCTCACGCACCCCTGCGGGGGAAGCGATCCCACACTTGAACCGCCAGATACGGATAGCTTCACGCACTTGCAGCTTCTTGAAGCTGCTCGCGGAGAAAGTTCACCGGCACATGGGAGAGTTGCGGCTCTACCTTCCCAAAACTGCACCCCGAAATTTAGCCGCAAAACGGAAGCATGAAGAGATGATGCTGACAGAGCCTCGCTCTCCTACTCTGACGTACCATCAGAAGCGCCAGCTCCTCTTCATCTCTCAGGCGATTCGAGACTACACCAATGATGGTCCTGGCCAGAACTCCTTCCAGCTCGAAGATGCGGAGCCTACCACCCAGCGCATCTGGACGTACCTGACGCGCCACTTCGGCCAAGGTGAGGTGCACTTTATGATTGCCAACGCCCTGTCGCATCTACACCTTCTCATGCGATCGTCAACTCCACGCCTACTCTCAGGCATTGAGCAGTCACAGCCATCGCATGCTCCAGGACAAGGCTCGGACTACTTCCCTGAAAATCTTCGTCTGCACGATGACAAGCAACTGGACCTTCAATACTTCGACCTGCAGGCGCTAAGGCGAGCCTCCACAGTATACCGGGTGCAGCAGCTGCTCAAAGTCTCTTCTTCCGCCGAAGGGGCATCGCCAGTTAAGAACGGATGGCGCTTTCAACATCAGGACCATCACCTCAATGCTTTGTCCTACGACCAACATCTCCTGGCTCTGCTGCCTCATCTTCCGCACTACCAGGACCAAATTCGCGAGGATCTGGTCACGTACAGGCAGTGGCTGCTTCGAGAGATCAATGCAGAGGAAGTTTCTTGGATTCGATCCATGATCACGGACACGGTGATCTCGCGAGGTGAACTACTGGAGCTCTTCGAGGATGCCCTGCTCAAGCAAGTCAACTCTGCATTTCGAGCTACTGCTGGCATTCCTAACCCTGAGGATCATCCTCAAGACTTCCAGAACAGCATGGCCCTCCGCTTCTATCAAATCATCAATCCGCTCTATGATGACATCTACGAAGAGCACAAGCCCTACGCAATAGTGTTCAAGATGCTCACCTCCTCTCATCGTAGACGGCTTCGGTCCCTCCTTCGAGCCCGAGAAGCTGCCATTCTGGCGTCCCCATATCGGACAACCAGCCTGGTTCCAGTATGCGAGTGAGGTCGCCTCCAGCAAACTGAACCATAGCATCCCTAAGTTCCTCTAGTCCGAATTCTGGACTTAATCACACCTCCAGACCACCGCTCGCACTGCAGAAGAAAAGCCTCCATGCCTCATAATGCACAAGTGCCAGCCTGCATAGCTGATGCCCCCCAGACTCGGCCTGCCTGCCAGCTTGCCTGCTGAGGTTGAAGACCAATCTCGCAGAGACGTGTACAGAAGCGCAACCCACCTGGCTTGCAATGGCCAGGACATCGAAACAGACCAGGTCCCGAACGAGTAGGTCACTTAATTTTCACCCTCGATGCCCGCCAAGGTGTGGGACATGACCCGCACATGCGTTCGAAATGAAATGAAATGTTGTTGTTGTTGTTGTTGTTGTTGTTGTTGTTGTTGTTGTTGTTGTTGTTGTTGTTGTTGTTGTTGTTGTTGTTGTTGTTGTTGTTGTTGTTGTTGTTGTTGTTGTTGTTGTTGTTCTTGTTGTTGTTGTTGTTGTTGTTGTTGTTGTTGTTGTTGTTGTTGTTGTTGTTGTTGTTGTTGTTGTTGATGTTGTTGTTGTTGTTGTTGTTGTTGTTGTTGTTGTTGTTGTTGTTGTTGTTGTTGTTGTTGTTGTTGTTGTTGTTGTTGTTGTTGTTGTTGTTGTTGTTGTTGTTGTTGTTGTTGTTGTTGTTGTTGTTGTTGTTGGTGGTGTTGGTGTTGGTGTTGTTGTTGTTGTTGTTGTTGTTGTTGTTGTTGTTGTTGTTGTTGTTGTTGTTGTTGTTGTTGTTGTTGTTGTTGTTGTTGTTGTTGTTGTTGTTGTTGTTGTTGTTGTTGTTGTTGGTGTGGTTGTTGTTGTTGTTGTTGTTGTTGTTGTTGTTGTTGTTGTTGTTGTTGTTGTTGTTGTTGTTGTTGTTGTTGTTGTTGTTGTTGTTGTTGTTGTTGTTGTTGTTGTTGTTGTTGTTGTTGTTGTTGTTGTTGTTGTTATTCCTCCTGCTGCTGCTGCTGCTGCTGCTGCTGCTGCTGCTGCTGCTGCTGCTGCTGCTGCTGCTGCTGCTGCTGCTGCTGCTGTTGTTGTTGTGGTTGTGGTTGTTGTTGTGGCTGCTCCGCCCGGGGCGTGCCCGGCTGTGGGCGACAGCCCCTTTAGATAAACCTCGGTTGGCAATTCATATCGTTGCCTTGCTCTTGAGCGGACGAGCATCTCGCCTTGTTGCAAGCCCCTTTTTGGCCTGCATAGCTTTTTGCAATGTGCTGTAGTCATTCGTTTGCCTGAGTGTGGGTGGTCCTCTCTTTGACATAGACAGGAAGAGTATAACGACTATGGCGCTTGCTGAGGCTAAGCAGTTTCCATGCAAGTAAAGTTTGCCTTGTCGGATGCTTGCTTCTCTCCAACTTCTATGGAAAATGGACACCCTTTCTTTGGCATTTGCATCAGCCCATGCTACTGTAGACGCCAGCATAACATGCACAAAAGTGTTGCCGAGGAGCGCGGTGGCCTGGCGCATGATGTACAGCTCCGGCATGCCGTGGAGCGGCCCAAGCGCCGTGCAAGAGATCTGCGTGCTTTCAGGACTTCTCATGTCTCGTGGGTGATCGTGGGTGAAAGCTGGGGTCAAGAGTCCACACTCACAGGCTTCTTGCGTTGCGGCTGCAGCCTCCTGGTCATTGAGGTACTTGTAGGACACACGCTTGACCTGGACAATCTCCATTGGCACTAATCCGATGCGGCTCATGTTGCATCCCATGTTGCATCCGACCTCCTCTGCGTCAACTGCATCGATGCGGAGCCTGGCGAATGGGCGAATGGGCTCTCATTGGAGAAGGGCAGCCCCGTCGAAAGGCAAACAGAAGGCAAGTCTACACCGTTTGGGTCCGACTAGCATTGAGATCAGATCCAACATATTTACTGAAAATATGTAATACAGTGTGCGTTTGACTCGTTCCTTGTTTCTTTCCAAGGTTATCTGAGTCTGCCCAGAACCTGTGTGCAGGCCGCTGAAATCTTGTCAGTGGATCCTCGAGCTGTTCCTTGCATTCTCCAAACCCGGTTGCTTGCAGCACAGCGGGCTCAAGAAAGGCGGGCAACGCGGGAACACCCGAAAGCAGCACTTCGGCAGTGCAAAGGTCGGGTGAGAGCAAAACAGATCTTCACAAGATCGGTACACCTCGGCCCACTTTTTTCCGCGAGGGCTGAATGGTCTGCACGGTCAACCCTCTCATCGTGCCCAGGCTACAGCGGCTGCAGCGGCTACAGCTACAGTGCACAATGCTCAAGCTCCATCAGGAGGGCCTCTGCCTCGTCGCTGAGGACCAGCTCTGAACTGCGATCCACGGCAACATGCAAGTCGCCGACGGCAATGCTCGCAGGCCCACTCCGCAACGCATTTAACGTTGATGAGGACAACAGAACCGGATGGCTCTCAAGCTCTGCTGCCTCACTGAGCGTCAGGGCTCGAACCTGACGTCCAACTGCATGCAAGCAGCGGGGATCATGCTCAAGAGTCGCGTGTGAGAGGGCACTCGCCAGAATAAACTGATTTCCAGAGTCGGATGCTGGCAAGGCATACCAGAGTTGGTTTGCTGCCGGTCTTAGCTTCTTCCATAACCACACCTTTTGATTCTTCGCGCTGGGGTCAGCATCGATGTCAACTACGTGCCTGCTCCCTGTGCGAATCCAGAAAGGGCCAGCAGGTTCAACTGTAGGACTTGCGACTGGTGCACCGACGGTCTCTGCAGTGCTGCACTGAAAGTTGTACTCAAAGTTGATGACATTGGATGTGTGATAAATATCCATTGCAGCATTGCTAAATGTTGTCGTGAAGGTAGCTGAGCCTTCCGGCACCGTACGCGCAACGAACCCGTGCTCATCATGAACGTGACCAAAGCAATGCAAGGGAACTTGTCTGGCTCGAACGTGCTCAAGTAGTGATGCACATCCCCAGTGGGCAAAATTGCCCTTGTGGCGCGCTCCCTCGCCGCAGATCCTGCAGTCATACGTGCCGGAGCCATGGCTTAACCATGCTAAATCGAGGATCCCAAGCGGTGGTTGATGCGTGATAAGGATATCGACATCTGGAGGAATCCTTGCCCAACGAAGTTCACGCTCCTGCTGATTCGCACGCCAGGCCATGGAGCAATGATTCCAAGAGCTCCCGTAAAACTTCACTCCTTGGACTGTGACCCCGGAATCATTCAAGAGGATTGGTCGCCGAAAGCCATTCAGCGCTGCAGCTTCTGGCGTATCGCATCCAAGGTATTCCTCGAGGTCTGGTCGCCTGTCAAGTAAGAGCTCGTGATTCCCGCACACAAGAATCTTGTAGCGGTGCGGTTCCTGCAAGAACCATGTGAGGAATGCGCGGATGGCCTACAAGCACAGAAGCACAGGGACAAGAGGACAAGGCCCTCGCACGTTAACGGACCTAGTATGACTTGCTTAGACGCACAGGATGGAATAATTGTAGTCACGCACGCACACACACACACACACACTGTGGCTGTAGGCGACCCTGCACTTTAGAGGCCATGAACAGATTAGTGCCTGGTACTCCCACTTCAAAAATGGAACATGGTATGTCACATGCAAGAGGCCTCCGGCTCCTCATCTCCTGCATTCGTGAAGTCACCACTGTGGATTAAAACATCCCCGTGTGGGAGCTTCCCGCCGTAGTTGCCATTGTGCGTGTCTGAGATGTGGACAATTCGCAGACACGTGGTCTTCAAGCTGCCGTCTCGCTGTACATCCCGTGACTTTACTGTCACTTCCATTGGCGGCTTGACCGGACTCATGGCGGGATGCAATTGCTCTTCACAAACGGGCGCATTAAGCCAAAATCACATGGTTCCGACTGCTAACCACTGGCCCTCAACAGCAACTTGCACCATTTGGATGGACGAGATGCAATGCTGGTGAAGTCTTCAATCGCGCCAGATTGCACATCATCTCTGCTGGGGGAACCCCACGACCGTAGGCCAAGACCTCCTTGCCCACCTGGCTGCAATCACGACTTGACGTGACTCGACCGTTACTCGTCGTCTAAGTCTGCTAAGCTGGCTTGCCATGGCTTGCCACACTATAGAGCTACAGGTGGCCTACAGGCGGCCTATCCATGCCTACCCCTTCTTCGAGATCTTGACTGTCTTAACTTGCCGCAAAGCCATAGCCTGGTTGCAGCTGTCGCGGGTGCTGCCAGAGCCGTTGACGAGGGTGGCTTTGAGTTCTCGCTTTGCACGCTCCACCTGGGCACAAAATGCAACGCGCTTTAAGTGCCCATTGCGGCTCTTGTCCTGGCCTCCTCATCGGTCACCGAGAACGAAAGCAAGTTGCAGCCGAACATAAGTTCGCCGACCGCATGTTCCACAGCGACCTGGCCACAAAGAACTCGTGAAAAATATTTCTGCAAGAGCGCGTCCACAGTATGCCACATCAGCTTTGATATGTGTGGCTTGAGCCTCATCGCAGACAATGTACCAACCGAACCTTTTCTCAACGCAGGTTCACGGTTTTTCCAGCTGTTGCGCTGCAGATTGCTGCAGCTTAAAGGAGCACAGCAAACAGCACAGTGCAATGTTGAGGTGCGCAGAGTTGCCCCGGGATCCCCGCATGCCAGTGTCCTTGTAGAAATGCATGAAGCATTCATACTCCTGGCCAAGTGCAAGTGTGAGCTGCGACGCAAGCGATG